GTGGAGCCAATAAATCAAGCCAGAGAGAGGGAGTATGACTGTAACAGGTTTTAATTTTTCACAAGCAGAGGGAGGAGGATACCAATGTAGTTAGTCAGTCAGCAAGCATTAATCCTCACTAATGCCTTCCTCTGAGACCTATTCTTCTCTACACAGCTGTGCAAATTTAAATTAATTGGATCATATGGACCAATGCATCCAAGAAAAAAATTAAAAATTCCTGGAATTAATTGGACAAATAATAAAACCAAACTACCATCAAGTCAATTCCAACTCATAGCGACCCTACAGGACAAAGCAGAACTGCCCCACAGGGTTTCCAAGGCTGTACATCTTTACAGAGGAGACTGTCACATCTGTTTTTGTTGTTGTTGTTTTTGCATGTTCCTTTACATTTATTTATCATGAACAGTAAGATAATACAGCAAACACTGGAGAAAGATTTTTTGTAAATTTTTTATGTGAAGCTTAACAGTTAAAATTATGCTTGTCCCCTCACTGACCCCATGTCTACATGCAGTATCATTTACTTTCATATATAGATTCTAGAACATTACAATCTCTTGATGGTTTTATACGAGTGTCTTTGCTGTATAACTTTTAAAACATTTTCACAACTGTATACAATTATGGTATAATACCATCATTCATATAGTTCCCCAAGGTGCGTACATTTATACAATATTAACATTAAAACCTGTGTTTTTTAAAACATCATAATAAGCCAAACCAAAAAACACTAGCTTTACATGTTGATGAGGCTGCTGCTGGTGGGTTTGAACCGCCGACCTTTCGGTTAGCAGCCAAGCACTTTCTTTAAATGTGTGGGAAGGAGTGTTCAAGCGACCACATCATAGACTGAGGACAATACATTCAAATTCATACGGCTGTCAACTTCATTGTGTAAGAAGCTAGCAACGGCAGGTGAGGTCAAATGTGAACCTGTTCACAAAGCATGTAGTAAATGGCCAGAGTGAGAATAGTAACATTACGCCAGGCTGAGCATTGTACTGAGGACTTTACAGGTAGCATTTCAGGTAATCCCCACAATAACCCCATTTCTCCCAGTTTACATATAAAGGGAGTTAGGGACAAAGGGGTTAAACAACTTGCCTGGGGTCACACAGCTAGTAAGCAGCGAACTTAGAGTCATAACTTAAGTTCAAGCAGACTGACTCCACAGACCACATTTCTAACCACGACCTTGTCCTGTTTTCTATATACCTGACATTAAGCTTACACTACGGAGAATAGGGAGTCCCTGGGTGGCACAAATGGTTAACATGCTTGGCTGCTAATCTAAAGGTTGGCAGTTCCAGTCCACCCAGAGGTACCTCAGAAGAAAGTCCTAGTGATCTACTTCTGAAAACTCAGCCACTGAAAACTCTATGGAGTACAGTTCCACTCCCACACACATGTGGTCACCATGAATTGGAATCAACTCCATGGCAACTGTTTTTTTTTTCTTTTTGGAGGGGGGAGGAGTTATGAAGAATAGAAAAAAGGATAAGACCCAGTTCTTGCCCTTAATAAATTCACAATTTTTTAAATTATGATTTAGGTGAAAGTTTACATAGCAAATTAGTTTCTCATTAAACAGTTAATACACAAATTGTTTTGTGACATAAATTTACAATTTGACTGGGGGAACCAGGATGGACAGACATTAAATAATAATAAGAAATCAAGAACAGGTGGCATAATATTATGGTCTGCATTTTTTAGGTGAAAGAAACAATTCATAGAGGCTAGGCGAACATGGTTACAATTCACGTGTGCAGCTTTTGAAGAAGATTTCAGCAGGTTCTAAACTAAAAAACAAGATGCACAGAATACCACACTAGGAAATACTGATTAGTCCCTGCAATAGTGTGTTTTGAATGTTCAGAAAGGGATCTACTTGTCAGAAATCTCCCCTTAATTAAAAAAGGTCAGAAGGACATCCAGCCTACCTCAGACTTATCTTTTTTGTTGCTGTTAGGTGCTGTCAAGTCATTTTTGACTGTTAATAAAAATGCCTATAGCCTGGTCAAAGAGAAGGGGGAGAAGTTTCTGGCGTCCACTCTGACACAGATGTGGCAACTTCGCCCAGCCTCCAGAGACGAAGAAGCAGGGAGGAGCCGATTTGCATCATCCCTCCAGTTCCTTCCATGGAAATTAACCATCCCTGGGCATCTGACACACTGACAGGGGCAGGTTTGAGCTAAGGATTAGTGAAAACATTCTTAGAAGCAGCAGCAGGACGGCAGAAAGGTAAACTGAAGAATGAGTGCAGGCATGCCAAAAACTATTCTGAAATTTATACCAGATTCATGACCCCCGTGTCTATATAATGTGTGGGGGAGACTATTATAATGGTTGTGAAACAATGTATTTCTGTTCACTTCGCTATAGTCAAATTTGTTTTGTTTTGTTTTGTTTTCAACCTCTGAATGACTTTTTCTTCCTAAATTTTATTTATTTTGTTGTTCTTGTTGAGTACACAGCAAAACATACACCAATTCAACAGTTTCTACATGTACAATTTAGTGACATTGATTATATTCTTCGAGTTTTGCAACCATTCTCCTCCTCCTCTTCTGAATTGTTCCTCCCCATTAACATGAACTCACTGCCCCCTAAGGTTCCCATCTAATCTTTCGAGTTGCTGTTGTCTCTGTTTTGTTCTTAATACTCAACTTCAAGTATACATGATTTTAAAAATCACTGCATTTTTAAATGGAATGATATGTTACTTTTGGCAGCAGTGTCCTGGAAGGGCAGGGGCATATTATACAAATCATCACAGGGCACAGCACAGCAGAAGAGGACACGCATCCCTGTTACAGGATCCTTTCTCTCATGTGGACAAACTTTGGACAGCAGTGCTGGGGAGCATGTTGGTAGCTGAAATCACATTACCTGTGGCTCAGGTTTCATGTGGGGACACAGAAACTAGTCTGCTGACACTTGCTGGGTGTGAGCAGTGGAATGCATAGAAAGAAGGATCTGCAGGCAGAGTACAAGGTCAGCCCTGACATTCCTGAGAGTCCAGGTAAGGTCACAGTCTTTAGGGCAGAGCAAATATTTCCAAAATGTCCTGACCAAAAAAGCAATGAGCTCAGTTTCAGCACCTGGCCAGTGGCTCTCAACTCCACTGAATCACCAGGAGAACTTTGGAAAAACACCCAGGCTGTGCCGTACCCCAGTGATGCTGATTCAGTGGTCCAGAATGGGGCCTGAACGCAGTATTTTTTAAGAACTCCCCCAGTAATTATAATGGGCAACCAAGGGTTGACAACCAGCATATTTAACGCGGCCAAGACTGAGGTACCATAGGCATTGGTGAATGGGGCTCCTCAATCCACAGACTGAAATGAACAAAATTCCTCTATCCCTTTAAAAGCTTACTCTAAGTTTTATTTCTTTCCGGACTGGACCGTGAGAGGCTACGTAAGAGTGGGGGCTGCCTGGATTACAATCCTAGTTATAGTACTTACTGGCTAAGTGACTTTGGAGAAGATACACGACTTCCCTGAGATTCAGTTTTCTTAGCAGTATAATGGGGTTAATAATACCAGTATCAGGGTAGTTGAGATGACTGCATATGTAAATCATTTAGCCCAAAGCCTGGCACATGTTAAATGATAAGTGTTACCTACCATGATTGATAATGATGATGAAAGTAAAAATATTTTAGTTATATTTCAATAAAAGGTTTTTTTTTTTTTTTCCTAAACACATAACTGTGTGTTTATTTCTGGGGACAAGTTTTAAAGGGACTGTGACAAACTGGACTGTGAGAATTCTAGAAACAGTTTTACAAAACAACAGTTGAAGGAAACAGGGCTGTTCAGTCAAGAAGAGAAAACCAGGAGGACATGTGGAGCTGTCTTCAAATGTAAGAATCCCGTACAAAGGGGGTAGTCTGATCATGGGTTTTTCTTGAGCAGTATTCTTAACCTAGAGAGGGAGGTCTGTGAATAGAGTTCAGTGGGTTTGGAAATTTAGATTTTAAAAAAAAGGTAAATATTTTCACTAATCTCAAATGGAAATTTAGCATTTCCTTCTATTCTGAATAGAGACAACAAATCTCAGTAGCTGTTAACAGTATCTGTGATTTTTGTCACCAATAGAAATCACAGATAGTTCCATATCATATTATAAATGTGGCAGATATCCTAAAATACTATTTACATTTCATGTGACCAACCACCAGTTTCCCCAGGACTGAGGGGTTCCCTGGGATGTGGGACTTTCAGTGTGAAACCTGGGAAAGTCCCAGGCTGACCAAGATGGTTAGTTACTTCACTTATATTCACCACTACTTTGGAATTATGAAGGTAACGCATCACTTGATGCCATTTTTTTTAGTGTGTTATATTGCTACTTCACAATTTCAAAAAGTAGTTTGATAAATGTATTTCTACGTAATTTGTTTCCTTTATGATGTTTTGTATTTTATCTGATGTGTTTGAAAGCCTTACTATGAGACAGGGCCCATAAGCTCCAACCTCCACCAAAGGGTCCATGGCATAAAAAAGGTTAAGAACGCCTACAAGGAAGAAACTGGGACCACTGGTTGAAAAAGACAGGAAGCCAGACTTAGGTGCCTTAAGGTCTTGGGATCTAAAAACAACAATGAACTACATGGTAGAAGAGGACACAGGCATATATCTCCGAAGGACACAACTAAACGAACAGTGGTTGGGTCATTTTTCCACCCCTAGGAGTCTTTGTTTTGTAATCCCGCATTCAGAAACCAGGGAATCTGCCTAATTTCTCTACTCCCAATGACACATGGATGTGTATTTTATTACTTACTTATACCATTGAAGAGTTAACTCAGTCTTGACAGTTATCAACTGTTAGGCCTACCAGTTTCCTGTAACTATAAATGTTTCCCCTAAGGACCATAATTTGATGGAGCTTAACATTTTTCATGAGTTAAGATAATGGCAATTTGAATTTTAAAAAGATCCAGTTTGAAGAAACGATCAAAAGAAACCTTAAACTCTTACCGGATACCACTGGGCTTCTGACAGGCAACAGCTCCCATCTTGCCTAGTTACTGCTGTTGATAGATGTTCCACTACTTTGTCACGAGGCAGTAAGAGACCATTTCTCTTCTGAACAATGTAACTCCAAGCATCCAGCCCAATGTGGCCAGAAGGCAGTGTTCTTACAATTGCCCTTGTCCCGGTATACACAGATTTCTTAACTTCCTTGTCATTTTTACAAAATCTTCTGACTAACAGAGTGGACCGCTCCTTCTTGCTTTTAAAAAAATCTTCTTCTACATCTTCACAATCATCAGGGAAATCCTCAAAATGGCTCAGGAAAGTCTTGGCAGGTGGACTGTCAATAGAATCTTCCCTGCAAAAGCTATCCCTTGAACATACCATGTTGACCTTCTGGCAAGAACCTTCGAAGCACAAGTATTTATCATTCAAGGTGTCACAGTGATCACATTGCAGTTGCCCATTCTTGTTATCGCAGTTTTTTGCCAATTCCATCAAGCTACAAGTATATGCCATGTAATTTTCCTTTTGCTCCCCTCCAACACCAGGAAGTGGCACACAATTTCCACAATCATCCAAAATTAAGTTATCCGACAGGGTACAGAAAGTGTCTGACATTCTTCTGTCAACTTCATAATGAAAATGAAATACCGCCATGTTGTTGTCAGGGTGTACTCTGCTGGTGTCCATGATTGCTGAGTGATTTCCTAAAGGGCTAATGTCCATGGGATGTCCGTCCATTTCCAGTTGAATTCCAGGGAACACCTTTCTTTCCAGTGGAGAAGGAATTCCAGTTTCTAAACACAGGCCTTCCTCTGCAACAGAGTTGCACGTTTCATAAAACTGGCTCTGAGGAAGGCTATGCTGATGGTTTTTCAGGATGTTGTTGGAGTTAATGTTAAGGTTTTTCACAGACTCTGGCATGCTTTTCTCCCAACACTGTTCATTACTGTTCTCATCGCTCATTATTTCCTTCCTTGCTACTGAGATAATTTTGGGCAAGGAGCTTCCAGAAGAATCCTTTTTAAGTTTGTTCAGGCATGAGATGGTATGAGAAGTCTGTCCACTCTGAGTGACAGTATGTGCCTTCAGAACACTGATGTCTGAGACCTTTTCACTAATTTCATCTGCAGCTGACTGAGCAGATACCACTTTTCTCTGAGTCACAGGCATGAGAACAGAAGCTGCCATTTCTTCAGAAGTCATCTTGACCAACACACAGGTTTTAGCTATTGCTCTTTTTCTCCTCTCTGGTGCTCATATCAAAATTTTTTTAAATGAATGATTATTAAATTAATCTCATATATAAAAATTCTTTGGAGAAAATGGCAATTCCTTTCATTCAGATGCGTTAGGAGCCAAATAAATTTCAACAGTTGTAACTTCCTATTGTGTAAAATATGTTTTTCTAGATTAGGATTTTAAGTTGGTAGATCAATTTTCTTTCCTCTGTTATTTGAAGCAAATTCTTTTGAAGACTTTTATTTGAGACTGCATTCTGCAACTCTGATCCATCACCAACTTGCAAAGATTTAAAAATCCGGTTTTAACATGTCCTGTAAGAAAAGGAATAATGTCAAACACTGTGGCATTAAATGGATTTTGTAATATGAGCTCATATATCTAAGCTAATACAAAATATGGACGAATTTTGAGGAAAGAGATTTACAATCAGAAATTAGTTGTAATGTTTAGCTATTTATTTTTGTTATGTAACATTTCAGAACTTCCGCTTCCAGACAAAGACCAGATTTACACTCCCATCTTAAACAATTTTAAAAAATAGGGAGGAAAAAACAAACAAAAAGACGATGGTTTTCAGACGTTGGACTACAGGCAACACAGTGGTCCTTGAGGGAAGAAAAAAACAAATGAATTGAGCCCTATAATTGTCCTAGCTTACTGCCTACAGTATTTACAAGCTTCAGAGAAAGGAAGAGGGACTCAGGTAGAACCCAGTGTTTTCCTGAGTTGAAGAGAAAAAGCTGAGAATTCGAGGAGGTCAAGGAAGCTAGAGGAAAAGACATATTAAGTAGAGAGGAACAAAGATAAGGATGACAGCTGACTTCTTATAAGAAACAATGTATACTAGAAGAGCCTGGAGCAAATCTTTAAAGCTCTGAAAGAAAAAATAATATCCACCAAGAATTCTGTATCTAGCAAAACTATCTTTCAAAAAGGAAGATAAAATACTTTTCAAGATATACAAAAGCTGAAAGAATTCATCACTAGCAGACCTGTACTACAAGAAATGATAAAAGAAGTCATTCAGACAGAAGGAAAATGATCCATATAGAAATCTGGGTCTATACAAAGGAATGAAGAGTACTGGGAATCTTAAATAATTGGGTAAACATAAAATTTTTAAAAGCACTTTACAAGATAATTGACAGTTTAAAGCAAAAATAATAATGTATTATGGGGACCTCTAACAAACGCACAAATAAAATGTATGACAATAGTACAAAGATCAAAAGAGGGAATATGGAAATCAATTGTTATAAAGTTATTTTCATGAACTGGTATAATATTACTTGAAGGTAAACTATGATGTTAAAGATATAAACTATTAACCCTAAAGCAAACACTTATTTAAAAAAAAAAAAAGATACAGGTAGTAAAGCAAAAAAATCAGAATCTTAAAAAATATTCAATTACTCAAAAAAAAAAAGGCTGAAAAACAGGAAAAAGTGAACCAAGAATAAATGTGACAAGCAGAGAGCAAATAGCAGATTTAAACAATTTCAAAAAGCAGCTTTAGGCAGTATTTCCAGTTTTATTCCCACAAAATTTTAATGTTTTTCTTTAACTTCTTCTGTTTAGTTTGAATAAGAAGTAATCTCATTGAATATCAGTAGGCATAAATATGTTTAATTTATGAAAGGCATAATTTTAAAAATAATTTAGCCTATCTTTATTCTCCAAATTACAGAACACCTGCTCTGTATTGAGTACTGTTATAAACTAGATAGCTAGTGCCTCCCTGCACATTTATAAAGAGAGGGGAAACTGAAAAATGTCAATCCAATGTGACAAGTACAATTAGAAAGGATTTGCAAGGCACTATGGGACCACAGAGGATGCTCAAGATAAGAACATCATTTCTTCATAGGCAAAGCTGTGCTTCCCAAGGAAAGTGATCAGCGTTCACACTCTGCTGCCAGTACCACCTTTGCCCTGACTTTGCCCTTTGCTACACAGATGCCCCTCTTCTCCTTCTTCTTCTTTTCCCAAGAGTCATCAACTACCCTTCTTCCCTTACAGAAATGTCCTTTCAAGTACAAACACAAGCTCTCATCTGCTCCCAGCACATGCAAGTCTTCACAACCCCCTTAAAGGAACAGATGACACCCTATCAACCAGATACTTTACAGAGAATAAACCAGCAGCTATGACCTAGCTTAACCTCCTAACCCTTATTACCTTTCACGTCCTCCCTCCAACTTGGTTTCATTTTGCTTTTCTTTGGAAAATGCCTCTGCTTAGGGTAAAAAATTTCAAACAATGCAGAAAAGCACAAGAAAAAAAAAAATTTTAATTTAACACAAATCCCACCACCCAGAGATAACCACTGTTAATACTTTGGGAAACTTCCTTTCAGAATGCTCTCTCTAGGCATCAGTATACATAGAGATATATCTATATAATTATAGAAATACTGGATAATACTGTACACACTGTTCTGTAACTGCTTTTTTAACTCAAAACGTCATGAACAATTTTTCATGTCAAGAACTATACAGATAACTCTAGTGACTTACAGACAGATAACTCTAGTGACTTACAGACAGATAACTCTAGTGACTTACAGTAATAACTTGGTTTCAATATATCTGCTTTACTTTTTCAGGTAGCTTTTTCAGGCCAAGCCTTCAGATGACAGCTATTACATACATCCTTTCTCACCCATGAGGTGGGTAATTTGAGGAAATGGGCTTGCTTCATGGTGTTTCAAAAGGTACAATCATGGGCAAGACATATGAATTACGAGGGACACATGGCTCAGTCTGATAAAGAAGTCCCTAACTTTTCAAGCTGGTCAACAAAGGTAAGCTATCTTAGATGGTGATCATCTCCTAATTGTTGATAAACCAAAAGACCCAAACCTGTTGCCACTGAGTCGATTCCGACTCATAGCAGCTATCATGGATTGAATTATGTTCTCTAAAAAAATGTGTGTATCAGTTTGGCTGGGCCATGATTCCCAGTATTGTGTGGCAGTCCTCCATTTTGTGATTGTAATTTTATATTAAAGAGGATTAGAGTGGGATTGTTAACACCTTTA